AACACTGACCAAAGACAACCTGGGCAATGGGATACAACCACAAGGAAGGTGGTCACACTGAACTGTGGTGAGCACTGCTCATCTCTTCGTAGGTCTGCAGAAGCAAAATTCAAGTTAACATGTTTTGAACAAGCAGTTCAGTTAAATACAGTTAATGTCTAAAATAGAAAAAGGTTACCCACCATCAAGCTCCTTCTCAATGAAGTCCATTCTGTGTATGACTTCATCTTGCAGAGACTCCACGTGAGCTAAAAGATTAAGCTGCCACTGCAGCTGTGAGTTCACAACTCCTTCTTCGTCTTTTTCCAGCAGTTTCATTTCAATAGCTTCCTCTGGAAAGACTTTCTTAGAGTCAGACTCTCTGACCTAGCAGGAACACATACATTAGTGACACAGGACTGGTGACCCAGACTGGGTCCTTACAGTTACCCACACTGACCACTCAACCAACCTTAAGCTGGTGGAGGACAGAGACACAGAGAACAGATCATACACCAGTGTTAAGGCAGTTTAGGCAAGAGGATCTAAACACAGATATGCTTTTACAGGTGTTTCACTAAGACCTATTCTTTGCACTTCAGGAGCAAGTGATTTGCACCTATTTTCACAAGACAGCACATAAACATGTTGCTAGCTCCTTGCCAACGTCCAGCTGGAAGCCACCGCACCCAACCTGTGCGTCCTAGGGAACATTAAAGCCATTTTTTAACGTGACAGTAAACAACTAAAGAGCAAATGATTTTGCAGCAAGAAGGGATTCTTCCTGAAGGAATCTAATCTCAATTCTACTGGAACTTTCATCGAAGCATCCAGAAAAAAGCATTACCACCACTTGTAAAACTCGGCTACGCTGTCTGCAGTGTTGATTCTACTCCCCAACCTTTTCATCATGCTGCTGAAATACGACAGGATTTAGGAAAAGGCTCCGAAAAGACTGAAGAACTGAAATATATGCCTTTCTGGGAAACACGAAGCAATCTCAATCAGCTTGACAGGGAAGTTAAAAAGCACATAAATCACAGCTTACGTATGTGTGAAATAAAAACTAAACAACCTTTTAATCTAAGACAGATATTACAGTACTTCCCAGAGGCTTTCTAATGTTTGTCAGGTCATATTTCATATGACTTAGCACTAACTTATCATAGCAATACTTTTGCATTGGGGTGTAGAAAGGCAGGCCTCTGACAGAGCTGAAAACGAGAACCAAGAGCTGAAAAGACAAAACTACAGTGTTTCAGTAGGAAGAGGATACAGGACTATTTAATGGTGATGATTCTTAAAAATCACAGAACCACAGAATATGAGGAGTTGGAAGGGACCTGGAAAGCTCCCCCAGTGCAACCCCTGCCAGAGCAGGATCACCAGAGCAGTCGCACAGGAACACGGCCAGGGCTTTGGGTGTCTGCAGAGAAGGAGACTTCACAACCTCTCTGGGCAGCCTGGGCCATGCTCTGCCACCCTCACTCACACTGACAAAGTTTGTCCTCATCTTCAGCTTGAACCTCCTGTGCTCCAGCTTGGGACCACTGCCCCTTGTCCTGGCATTGGACATCCCAGAGCAGAGCCTGGCTGCTTCCTCCTGACACTGCCCTTTCCAAATTGATCCCCAGGAATGAGGGCACCCCTCAGTCTCCTCTGCTCCAAGCTCAAGAGGTTTTTAAAATTATTTTAAATAGAGGACTTGATCATGTCTATCATTTCAATTTGTACTGGCAACTTAAGAGTTTAGTTTTTTAGGGAAAACTAAACACAAATAAACAAACTAAATACTATTAAAAAGGGTGCAGTTCTGTACTGAGCAGCCAAAGACATCCTCTATGTAGAAAGCATTATTTTAATACAAATACCTTAGAGTAACTGTGTTTGGATTCGTTTTCCACCTTGCATATGTCTCGATCCAGATTCCAGCCAAATCTCTCTGACAGGGCATCATCCCCATTTTCCCTTATCCTGTTTACGCCATCATCCATGGCTGAACCTCTTGTTTCCACAACCAATCTCTGCTCTACTGCAGGGTAGTAGGCACGAGGCTTCTGGTAACAGTGCTCACTCGTAATGTAAGATTCCTCCACAGAAGGAATGGCTGAGGGTTTCTCAACTGTCCCATTCCAAGTTCGGTAACTCGCTGTCTCCTCTTTGCAACAGTTTTCCTCAATGTGAATGATGTGTTTTGTATGAATTTTTTTATCCACTGTAATGTGCTTCCATGGCTGGCACCAAAGTTGTAGGTCAGGATGTTCTTTATTTCTGTTCAAACATAAAAATGTAAAACACCCACCAAATTTAAACTTCAAAGTGACTGAGCAAACTGTTCTATTACGTAAAGAAATTAACAATATTTGAACTATTACATCCTTTAGTCATTGCAGTCAGTAAAAAATACCCAAATATTCTGAAATAATACGATTTCACTGACCTCAATTGTGCTCCTCCAACAACGTTCTGTTTTCCATAATGGAAAAGCAAAACCTTATGTTAAAATCGCTACTCTTTTGCTTTAAGGGTTATTTTATTTACATGTTTCAGGTACTGCCAGTGGCCCGACTGCACCACCACAGATTAAACTTAAGGGAAAAACTTCTAAAGAGTGCTGCAAAGACTAAAAGCTTTGCTTTCCCAATAGCTGCTGCTGTGCAATTTATTAACTAATAAATACGGAATTCAATCAATTCAAAACTGCTGGCTCTGAGTTTGAAAAAATGCTGTCAGTCATCAGAACTCAAGGATGACTTCAAACAGGAAAGGATGTAGAACACTTGATTTCTACAGTGATTACAGAATATGCTTATTTTCACATATATCTGTAATAATCTTTGCACAGAAATGAATTGCTACAGGTTGCTGAAGGTACAACTGCTCTCCCACTGTAACAGAGCAGCACATTGTGCCAAACAGAGATTTGTTTTCTGCTAGGAAAGCTATGATTTAGAATTGCTGGAATGAAGCAGGTAAGCATTACAAGAATTCTGCCATAGCTTATGCATGTATCCTCTTCTTGCTACTCAAATCTAGATAGGTGCTTTAGAAGAAGCTGCTGTTACTGCTTTTTTCTCTCTTCTCTTCCTACTTTCCCAACCCTTCTATACACATCGTCAATTTACACTCTTCAAGACTCTTAAATAGTTTTCAAACAGCCAAGTCCTTTCCCAACATCACATCAGCAATTCAAACCATGTCATTATATATCCACAAAGAAGCACAAAAAATAAGTCTCAATTTCTGGTTATTTTTCCACCATTTAAAATCTACTTCACACTGAGAACATGCCGACTTGATACTTAAATACTGCTTACTGTAATATGCTCATCTTCAGCTGCAGCCCATGCAGTACTTCTATCACCCTCTGGACATCGCCAAGAAGCTGGTGAGTGGCTACAATCTTCTTGGCATTCTGGTGTGAGTAATTTTCTTCCAAAAACGCTAAGCCGTGCATGTGACCATGACTTAACCACTCCTTCTCATACCAGTACTTTAAGCTGGACCTCTGACCTAAAACAACAGTAATAAGTGTGTTAAAATGAGGCACTGACTGTGGCATGTTAACATCATTGGTAGCAATTCTGATTATCTCAGTCTTTTAACAACTTATTTCTTATCAACAGTACCAATAAAGACCCTATAACAGCAAGACAAACCCCTGAAAACATGAAGAACTTGCCAAGTAGGAAGATGATACTTGGTCAAAAACTTCTGCCTAACTGCAAAAGCACTCAGACCCCAAGCTCCAAGGGACATCTACAGCAGGTAACTGCAGCTGATGCACAGAGAAGTGTATTGTAGCAGGGTATCGCACTGTCCAGTGACCATGGTTATAATTAAAGCTACCGTTTGAATACAGCTCTGCAGACAGAAAAACACAGCGAAAGGAAGTGAACGTCCCTTCTCCAGAGGTCTTGTTTTTAAGCATCATACAACTATTAGTGCAGTCATTCGAAAGTAAATTTTAAAGGAATCAACGATGAGGTTGTGATGGAGAGTTTGCTTAAGTCAGGCTATTAACAATTTTAGCTTAAGAGGTTGGAATATCAACAACAGTTGAAATGACGTTGTGTTAAATGTGATAAATGCATCAGCAGAAGTAATTTAAGAAGGCAAGCAAAATGGTGTTAGCAGCAAAGAGTGGAACTTGCTAAGTCTCTTGCTAAAGAGTGGAATTCTTGATAAATTGAGAAAACGCAAACAAAAAAATCCAAGCCAAAACCCCCCAAAAACCTCCACACACCCTGTAAAATGCACTGTTACAACAGATGTTCTCAGAAGAAAGCTCAGCACCCTGAGAAACACCACATCATTCACTGGCCTACATACGGCTCAGTCAGCGAACCTACAAAAGCAGAGGTAACACTGCAGCACAGACTCAGAACGGCAGTCACAAAGAAGTCTGCTACAGGCACATTAATGCTGACTGGGAGTTTCAGCAGCTACGGAGAACCTACAGAACAAGAAAAAGTCACCAGGCAGCAGAGGAAGAAGGGACTGCACCACACACGTTAGGGAGCAGCGCTGCTCATGCCGTTAACCTTGGCACAGAGAAGCAAAACAACTCTTGGGAAGCCATGGTGAGGAACGAGCAGAACTTGGTCAGGATATGTGCTCTGAGATGGCAGCTACAGAACAGCAGTAAAACAATGTCTGTGCCATGCCCCGCATGAACATCCAAGGACATAAAGGACACTTCCAAACAAATTCAATACCAATGTTTGTCTCAGTAAAGGAGTAGAAGCAAACAAGTGCCTTGTAAGCACACAGCGACTCAGCTGTAGGGGACAACGCTAGGTGGTTTGAGGTAAAAGCTCCCAGACCTCTCCAACACAGGGAAGGACACATTTTCAAGGCCTTAACAGCTCAGCTTTTCAAGCAGATAAGCTGCATCAAACAAGAGATGTTCTAGGTATGGCCAGAACAACTCTGGAGATGTTCCTGACGTACCTGTATTAACCCCTATGCATTTATTTTGTGTTAGAGAAGCTACCACCTGTGACAGAAAATGAAGCTCAGTCCACAAGAATAAATTTAGTGCTTGGCGGTGTACACGGAGACAAAAAGTGCTCTCTAAGCGTGTAAGCTGTACGGAAGACAAGACAACATCCAACAACGCACGCTCTGTATGGGTTGAATGAATCTGTCACCATCAGGGATCTCTTCATAATGTTTATAAACAAGGGTAAATGTTAACAAGCCTCCAAAAAATCCCCCTTGAATTAAAAAAAAAATAATTCTAAAATGACAGCACAGGTTTTAGGCATAATTACACTAAACTTGCTTTTATTTTCAGTAATATGAATGGTGCTGGTAAAAGTTCCAGCACTAAACTGGGAGAAGCTCCTAAAGAGGTTTGCTGAATGGCCATGCAAAAAAGTTTAAAAGCAACTTCTATTTAGCTTATTTCAAGCCAACATCAGATTCACTGAAACTGAGAAGCCACTTTTACAGTCAAAAAATGGACATGTTTTCCTTTTCCAAGACAGAGGTAAAAATTAATCCCAAATAAAAAATATGTACGTCTCGGGATCTTCAAAGCAATAGTGAACACAGTGCTTAAAACAATAAAGCAAATGAAGTGTTAACTGCAATCAGTTTTTACCAAAAAGCATTCTGTTCAAGTTTCTTACCGAATATAAATAGTTCAGGTGTGATGGCACAACTTCAGTTTACATGTGTACTTTACTTAATTGTAAAACTAACTCAAATTGACACAAATCGAAGCAAAATATCTTGAAAACAGAGGGCTAAAATCCCGGATGTAAGATATTGGAAAAAAACCTTAACTAAATGTAAAGCTATTTTACTAACTGAATGTAAATTATAGCATGTCTTCCTTGCTTGGAGTTGCACACATTAGTATTTGAACTACACAAATCAATGGGTTAAGCTACCAAGGACTTGGCAGTTTTAAACAGGCAAAAAAAGCAGAGACCACAATCCATGTATATAAACCAAAAAGGTCTTGCAATGAGGAAAACAGAGATCCCATTGACTCGAGCCAGAATCTCCTTCATTTCCACATCCAGCGAGGCTTTGTAATTCATAGCGTAGGAAGCCAGAAAAGGTCCACATGGTAAGTGCAATTTTACCTGCTGCAGATGGACTAAGACGTTTTAAAATACGCAGTTAGGAGTAGAGAATGTATTGCTTAGTTAGCTCTGACCACGTTACCCAAGGCAATTTATAGTTTTATCTGTGCACATGGATTGCAAGTGCCTTTCCCAACAAGCACCAGCACAGCACAGCAGCTCAGAACCAGCCGGCCTCTCGCTGACGCGCTCTGAAGGACGCGCACGCCTGCCCTCACAGGAGGAGCGCTGCAGCCGCGTGCCAGAAGATGTGCTCATGGCAAGTCTTCGGTTAACTTTCCTGAGTGCTTCTGAATTACTTCTTCCTTAGTCAGACAGTACAATTGCTGGCAAATGTGACAGACAGTCATCACAGTTAAAACATTCATTTCTATTCCTGCCCAGCTGCAATTCTACAATATTCACTCACCTACATTCACATAAATTAAACTTCCTTTATCTATAACTGAACTCAATTAGCTATAATGACAGACACAGCGAGAGGAGGGGGGAAGAAGGAAAAAAACCAACAAAAAAGGACGTTTAATCTTTGTTTTTTTATATATATCTATATATAAACTAATAAAGTTACTACATATATATAAGAAGGCTCTGTAACCTTAAATTTCTGTACCTGGAGGATCTTGGCAAATATAGCAGGTATATTTCTCAGGTACATTATCTTCCAGTAAACCCATACAGACTCCATGCTGCCAGCACAGGCACTCTTCACACTGTTTAAAGTCAAGAAGTGCACATCAACAGAAGTGAAGCCTACAGGAGCTCAATAAGATAACCTCAATTAAGAGACACATCATCCACATATTTTAAGACAGAAAGATGTATTAATACCCGCCCCCTCTTCCAGCTACAACCAAATACATTGAAGAATCAGACTGTGATAAAATTTGAACCCTTCCCACACATTTTTCATGTGGATTTCTGGAGAACGACAACAATTACGAAGTGGAAGCAGAGATCCTGAAAGGTGCAAAAATGTTCTCTTTATAGACAAAAATTTTTCACGAGATGCATGCACACATAATCAGGACAGAAAACAATGCAATCAAGCTTTCTTTAGCAAAATATATGAAGTTTTCTGAATTAAAAGGTTTCCATGTCAAACAGTAAATCCCATTTAATTATAAAATCCAAGGGAAATTTATGTCACATGGGACTAGCCAATATAACACTGTACTAAAACTTGTGTCTCTAACATCGTGCCTATTTCAAAGGTAGCTCTACTAATACACAACTGAAGTGCAACTGCACTTGTACGAGCTTAAAAAACTTCTGACGTTCCTCTAAGTGTGAGCAACCAGACCGGCAAAGACTGAATACAATTTGGTCCTGCTATTTTTGCACAGTTATGCTATTCAAAATGCAATCACTGTACTTAAAGCCATACAGTTTTAGAGCAGGAAAAATGATATCCACCTTCTGTTTCAGTCACTTCCCCTCTTCCTCCACTTTTAAGAAGTGGACAAAACTTCAACTGTAGCCTGAAGACCACTGAACATGGGACAAAACCTAACACAAGCACATTGAGTCAATTTTGCTTTTAAACAGTGGTTTTAGTTCAGAACCACTCTTTTCACAAGCAGCGAGACAACAAATCATAACCTTTATATCTCAGAGCACAAGCCAACAGTTTAATGCAGACATCTTGAAAATACTGGCAAAAGTTTTCCTATCTGCTGCCTTTCCTCAAGCTAGGAGAGACAAAAAAAGGACCATCAGTTTTTGAATACATCGTTATACTGAATTAGTGGTCCGGGTGTGGAAGAAATGGAAGCACTGGGAATGGAGAATGTAAAAGTTCAGAGAGAAACAGGTTTCTGAAAGATGGGACTAACAATGCTATGCCTCACAAAATGGGTACACAGTCCTAAAGCAGTGAGATGTTTCCAAAAAAGGCTGAGACACCATCATCCTTTCAAAAGAAACAGTAGGAGCCAGAAAAAGGTGTTCTAAAAGGAAGAGAATAGATTCAGGAAAGCAGACTGCTTGCTAAAAATATGAAGGGAGCTCCTGGACCTAGACACGTTTGCATCCTGTAACTCATGCCATACAGCACAGAGCTACACTCAGTGATTTGTCCAGACAAATTTGCCCAGAACTCTAATGAAGTATCCCAACTTTTTCTTGTTTTACTCAACCGATATAGATATCCACCCCATCGCAGCACAGGTGCCTCCTTTCACCTGCATGTTCTACCTCCCAGCTTGACTGGCCAGGCTGCAGCAGGGAGATTCACAGCAAGCCAAAGAAAGAGATTTCAAAGAGGGAAAACACGCAAGAGTTGTGCAGCAACATTTGAGTTCAATTCCAAAATAAATAAGTGTACCAAATGGACACGCATTTAAAGCAACTTTTCATCTACCAGAACAAGGACATCCCAAGCCTGTTTACATCCATCATCTCCAAGGCCACACAATCTAGCCTCAAAATTCTCTGTACCACACACAAATTATTCACCAATGTTTAGGCAGAAAGACCAAAAGGAAGGGACAATGACTGGACTGTCTGGACTTCTTTGGGCCCAAGTCTTACCCTATGAAGGGAATCCTGTGCCTTCAGCTGTAACACAAGACAATGCCAAGCTACCACTTTAACGCAGGCTCCATAAATGAAAACCAGTAACCTCCTTGCCATGTTAAGAGGCTGGAATGAAACAGCTCTGATCAATGATTTATTATTTTTTAATACTTTTTCTCAGTTTTAATTCTACTAACCCATGGCGAGAGCTGGGTCGACTGCCTGCAGCCTGTAGAGTTCACCGGTGGGACAGGGCCATGTGAGCAGTGGCTGCTCCTGAAGAAGCTGTGACTCCAGGCAGTGTGTGCTGGAGCAGTTCGTGTGTGAGGGAGCTGTGACTGTGGGCAGACCCAGATTGGAGCTTTGGGGACTTTTTCCCCCTATGGAAAGGGGGCCATGTGGAAGCAGAGAGAGAGAGAGAGAGAGTGAGAGAGAGAGAGAGAGAGAGGCTGGACGGAGTCTTCCTACTCCAGAGGAGCACATGGCATGAAAACTCACTGCAACCCCCACTCCCATCCCCTGCGCCTCAAGGCAAAGGGGTGGGGGAACAAAAGCTGAGCATGGGAAAAATGGAGAGGTGGGGGGGAAGGTGTTTTGAGTTAAGATCTGGTTGTATCGCCCATTGTTCTACTCTGATGTTGGTAACAAATTAAAATTGTTGTTTTTTTTTTTATTCCTTATGATGAGTCTGTCTCTTGCCTGTGACCTTTTTAAGTGGTGAGAAAGCCCTTCCAGTCCTTATTTTGACTAGCCCTTTTTGGGGCACCATGGTGCTCAGTTATGCACTGGGCCCAAACCATGACACAAGTCAAGGCAGACTGGCACACGCTCAAGCAAGTACCCCAAGCGCCAGCATATTTCCTCCAGATCTTGTCAGAGTAATAACCAAGAGCAGAACAAACACTCTAACAGAGACAAGTGCAAAGAATTATAATATTCTTCTAAAAACCCCTATACTGAGCAAAATTACCTATCTTCAGGAAGAGAGGGCAAGTCTAAACGCAAATTCTCTAGGGCAGACACTTCCAAATTTGAGTTTTCAAGGGTCAAATTGAAGTCCGAGGAGGAAACAGGGAAGAAATTTTTCCTTTTTGTGAAGTTACCACAACTACAGAGGATTCTCACTCTATAAAGGGAAGTGTCAACCTCAGCACTGCACCTCTGAAAAGCTGAAAATAGATTTCCCTCATCATAATTTCATAGTTGTATAACATAGCATCATTGCTTTGTATCAACATTAACATTAACATTAACAACAGGGGATCAGACTGCACAAAACCACAGACTGACAGAAAGGTGTGGGGAGCACAACACTGGGCACCTCCAAGCATAACATGTGCCTAACTTATCCCCACAAAATGTTGTTACCAGCTCCTTGCTCCCCAATTCCTATTGGTCCCCAATTCCTGTACTGCATGCTGGTACTCACCACGCTGCTCATCTGCATCTCTTTTGCAGAGAGAATAACCTGCTCTCCTAGAGAATTCTTTTATAACACAGCTAAAGTGTTTAAAACTTTGCAACACACTCAACAACACCCCAAACTAGTTCAATCTAGAAAACTATGGCAGGAGCAGCCCAGGAAACCTGAAGTGAAAGCTATCCACAAACTATGTCCTGAGCAGCTGTCAGTTCTCCGCATTCTGCAATCACTGACTAGCGCTGAGCTTACGTTTGCCAGAAAACCACGCTATCTTCGTGTTTTCATTGAGCCATCTCCTCAAAGCAGCCCTGTATTCCCAACTGTCTGAATCTTTCTCCTCCTACACCCTCAGATGTCATTTATCCAATTGTGACCACTGCCCATCACTGCCCTTTTTCCTACTGCACAAGGTATCTTTTGTCCTGCACTGTCATGATCCAACACTAACACAAAGGTGTCCATCCAAATGAACTCAGCACTAAGAGAAAAAGTCACACCTTCCATAGTATAGCTCTGTAAAATACTATGAAAGGCCAGAGGAAACTTCCCAGTGAAGTTAGCTGTCAAACTTGACCATTGAGGAAAAAATAATTTGAAATAAAATACAATTACATGTGTGTGTGTATGTATGTGTGTATATATATATGTATATGTATATACATACACACATATATATACACACACACACATATACATATATATAAAAAAATTAAATCAAACTTAGCTGCATTAGCTAGCCCTAATAAAAAAAAAATAAAAATCAGGCTGTTGTTGTTCACAGCAAAAAAGTACAAGTAAACAGCCAGAGCAGTTCCAAAGAGGCTTTTATCAACAGTTTTAAGCTGGAGAGATAATAAACACTGCTCTGGTTGGAGAGTCTTCTGTAAAATTGGTTTAAAAAGAGTACATACATGGAGAACAGACAGATGCTTTATGTAGATTAGGAACTCTGAATTTACAAACTACAGAAGAAGCTGCAGAGTAGACAGATGCAGCTCTGCTTCCAAACAAAAGACTCAAGTCATGGTTTTTCTTGTTCATCCTTACCTAAAGGATTCTATGTCTAAGTCAAGCTTCTTGCCAGGGCGCAGAAGTGGAACAGTACCACCATTTCATGGCAATGTTCTGAACATGCTCAAAAATAGAGGGAAGCAAAAAAGCCAGGTAAAAAGTTACTGATTTTTTAATATGTCTTCTCCAAGTGTTCAAGTTTTTAGAAAAATGCAAATCCACAATGACAAACCAACTGTCAATGGCTTGTACAGAACTGTCCTCCTCTTCCTCCACTTTCCTTTGATTAAAAAAACCCAAACAACAAACAAATGGAAGAAGATTTTTTTCATAAACTGTATCAAAGAAGCAGTTTTCTACCCATCAGAGCAGCAGCTTACCTTGACAGCTTATCTACAAAAGTTTTATGATTTCAGAAGACAACAGTTTATTTCCAGTATAGAACATACTGTGCATATTTCTACCACAGCTTTTCCACTGCCACATTCCACTGTATTCCCTGAAATGTGCATTCACCCTCCACTTCATACCTGAATCATGAAGTCATTTTCTTCTTTGACTTCACAAACACAGCGAACAATCTCAAAATCACTTTCTTCAACTTCTTCGTCAGGGTTCGTGGTCACATCCACGTACTGACTGCAGTCATCGTCACTCCAAAGCAAGCTGTCCATAGACGACTCACTTAGGGTGTCATCCTCTGCACAAAAAGTAGTTACATAAAATCCCAAGTAATTACAAAAAGGTCAAATAACTCTTAACCTTCAATAAAGTTTATTGAAGGTTACCACGTAATGTAGTTTTATATTCTCATTAATAGCGCTTTCAAAATATTCCAACTTAACAGCTTTTGTCATTAAAACTGTACTCTCAACATGCAGTGCGCCTCAAGCCAAAGGCAGTCTCTTTAGACAAGGAAGTACAACAAACAAAACAAGACTGATAAATTCAAATAGGATTCATACTAGTTTCTGAAATTTGTATAGAACTGTGACCTGTTACTTTAAGTGCAGAGCTCCCAAGATGAGAGCTTTCTGTCCCACAAGCCATTCCATCGCACAAAGTCAGGTCTCCATTACAGAAATAGAGTCCAACACAGAATTTAAACTTGCTTCAGAAATTATTATTTTCATTCAGACTCCTGTTGAGGACACATTTACCAACTATCAGGGAGAGTGCACTGCCCAAGATAATTCTTTAAGAATGGTCCTGTGCTACTCAAAGCATTGCTGTGGATTGAATAAAACCGCCAAGAAAATCTCTAACAACGTGCTAAATTGAGATGCTTACCTCAGTAATATTAATGCAATGTCTACACCTTCCTCGGGGACAGAATGGGAGGGCCAGAGGAAGAAGATAAGGATTTTAATTATTTGGGAAGTATTCTAATGAGCTGCTTGAGAGTGGGAAGTAAAAATTTTAGTCACTGTTAACCCGATTGTGGTCTCTCACCTGCATGGGGTAGAACTATTTTGATCACTTAGCCCTCAAAACAGGACTGTAGAAACAGAAGAACCAGTCTGTGGCAGAAAACGAGATCTGTTCTCTAATTCAAGGGGCTGAGAACCCAACGCGTTAGTTAATTTTCACGTTTACAAGTTTTATTCCACCTCTGAGAGAAGACACTCT